GAAGGTTAATTTAAGCAAAAGAAAACTGGCCCCACTTGACCCACTTTAATGCTGATACAGGGGTTTATTTAATGTTAAAGAAATGTTATTCCACACCTCTTATTGATGAAGACACCGGATAAGCACTGAGTGTGCTGTGCTGTGATGTTGAAATGAAGGTTAACTAATCTCACATGAGTCAATAAGTGCCTATGCATTTGAATGCCGCAACTCACTGTTCGCCGTTTTCAAGTCCCTGTGGACCAGTTTCGCTTGCTCATGCAAATAGCACATGCCCTTGGCAATGTCGGTAGACCAGTTGGCTAGGGTGGAGGGTCGGATAGCGGGTCTACGGCGAACGACAGTATGGAGAGCACCGCCATGTGCGAACTCCATTACAAGTGCCGGTAAGTGACTCAGTGTTTCGTGGGTCTCCCAGAGACCGAAAAATTCAACTATATTCCGGTGAGACAGTTGACCGAGATTGAGAGCCTCCCTTTGGACCTGTACAAAGAAGCACGCCTAATTTTAACATTAGCTGACAGTTAATTAAATTGCAGCAACGCGGTCAAACCAAAATCTGACGGATTTTTTGATTCTAGGTTTAAAAATGCATGAAGCTTGTGATGTCTCAATCAGTGTGCATAGAATTTGGGCTTAGGTTGTGGGCAAAGCAGAATCAACACAATACTGAGATATCATAATAGTACAGTCAACAAGACGAAAGTTTTCCAGTCTTGGGGATTCGACGTGCTCTTTACGTTGTTCCGCACCACAAAAGAAAATGATTAGTAAAGGTCTTTTCTACAAATGAAGCTTGCTAATCTCTCATAAATAATTGGGTAGCCTTGGATAATCGGTTATGTGTACGGCTATACCGGCGTAACCTAAACTACAGCCAAACTCCCCAGGATCACTATAAAAATAGACTATTCGTGGACTATTAAGGCCATTCGGGTAATGTTTGTCGCCAAAAATGAGGTAGTCTGCCAATGCAGCTCTTTGAAAAATTTGTAAACAGCCAAACAGACGTGTAAAAATGCGTTTAGTAGCCGAGGTGCGAGGAACGATACGAAGCGAATACCTTACTCTGATCACTTTCCCCAATACCTGAGTGTCACTTTAAATTTTGTTTGCTCGGCGAGAAACGACTCGCGCCAGACCAAAGCAGTACGTCGCGCATTAGAATGTGATTTTTTGTTTCACTCATATTAATAGGCAATGTGTATTACCTGGGGATGATACTATTTAATTGCTGAGTGATATTCGAACTGTCTTTTATTGTGTTTTGAAGCAATTGACTACAGTTTGTCTATTTGGACGGGGGAACTAAAATTTAAATAAACAGTTATCGTTTACAAGTATTGAATATCACCATTACAATTGGCCGAAGATGAAGAATTTGGTACAAGTCCAAATTAGTTTATGGTCAAAAGGGTAATGACGCTAGTAAAATGGGGAAGCCGAAAGTGGATCGCGCCCTAGTGACAATTTGCACACAGACACGCTGGAAGAGGGGTGATCCAAAAAGTATATGATAAAATGTTATCTAGCTTTGCGGGCTACGCGCTTACAGAACAAACTTGAAAAGGACCGCCTAATCGCCGATTAGGCCATGACTCGCATAAAGTGAAGGAGCGGCAACCAAGCCGACAAAGCAACGGTTTGGTTATAACGACAATGATGAAAGATTACCTTCAACTCGCTGCACAGGAACATCAGATGACAATTGAGTAGCCGATACTATCGTCGTCATTTCGACGTGTAAGATCAAATACACCACAAAATAGCCTCCACTGACTAAGCAGTTAAATGGCACATGAGTTGATATTTTCAAGATAAAAAACCAACTCTAGAGGGCCAAAGAAATATCACTAGAGAAAATTTCCATATAGAGGTTCGCACAAGATGCCGTATGATATAATTGATTATGGTGAACATACAGGCCTGGCAAAATGCACTCGAAAAAATGGTAACCAGAATGCGCAATGATAAAAACCAGCAAAACAAAATACATTCATGATTTGCGCCTTCTAAGTCACTTCCTGATTTTCGATTACAATCTTAAAAGAAATTGCCAAAGAATGCTAACAATTTTTTTGTATTATATGGGTTTCAACCATTGACTAAAATCTAGCTCTTTGAAAATGCATTATCCAATGAACACACAGAATGTCCACTTAAATTGACGAATCGGCGGGCGTGAAGTAGTTCCAGTATTAATTCAAGGTAGGAAAAAAGTGCAGGCTCATTCCACACGATTCTCAATTTAGGTTATGACAAAGAAACAAAGAAAAAATGTGTGGACGTAATTACAATCCGCGTGGCATTAAGATCCAGAAAAAGCCAAGGGAGACGCCAAAACCCTCAGAGATGTGACAAATGGTGCAGATCAGACAGCAAGAATCTCCTAATTCGATGAGCGACTGCGGATGAGCAGGTAAACGTTTTTAACCTGGAGGGACTGTATCCCAATGAAATTAATAGGAAACAATTCAAAGAAGTATATGGTCTGGTCATTTATGACTAACTGGCATAGAAGGATTGGCATGCCCCAACAAACGAATTAACACGAATCAACGAAACACCAACCTATCATCGGAGATACAGTTGGGAAGCACGATTTTAATACAAGGACGACAAAAATAAGAGCACAATGCCCTAAACTATTCCAAAAATATACCAACTAAGATGAATTAAGGAAGTGCTGGGCCTGGTCCCACTTGGCACACCGATTACAAATAACCACCTTTACGTAAATTTAAGATAGAATCAGCTGTGAAAGCCAGAGTAGTGCCTATGCAGTAGGGGCTGCGAAGATATTGTTGTGCTAAAAATAAAACAAAAGTGAATAGTCGCTATACAGCGGACTTTGGAAATGGCTTCCAAAAACTCATCACACCAGGCAAATAAAAACAGTCAAAGTGGACACTGGAAGATGACCGCTTTACCAAGGGAAGCATCATACACAGTAGCAGCCAAAATTACCCCAATGTACAAATTCCAATTACTGATATCATTAACAGTTATGAACCAACCTGACGAAGGCAGAAGAAAAACTAGGATCCGATTTACAAATGAAGTGATTAAATAGAGGGACATAGATGATTGTAGCGATTACGGTATCAAATTTTAAGCAAAGTGCTAAATTTTACCCCGTTACTGCATTTTCCTAGGAGACCAGGCAATTCAATCAGTTGGTCGAGTCGGTCAATCAGAAAAAAAAACAAAAATCGGTTTGGTATTTGAAACGGTCGGAAACGAAGTGTTACCGAATTCTACTTGTAGTCAGTTCCAAAATTCAGTAAAATAGTAACAAAGAGCATAAACTTTGCACAGTTTTGCACCTAATTCTCATAAAAAACTTTAATGCTTGCCAGTAATTACTACAACCTGTTGAATTTCTTGCACCTGAAACGGTTTATGCTTTTGTAAGCCTAAATTAAACATAGTTAGTTAAATTTAGTTTGCGCTAGGCAATCAAGCCATCTACAAATTAACTCACAGCCAATAGTTGCACGGAAATTGTGGTCATTTTGAATCCCACTTGCTACATTTTACGGATTTTAACAGTCGTCATATTGATAATCTATGTGTGTGTGAAATATCAGTTAAAAACCAGACGTGAGCAACTATTTAACTATGATGCACATGAGATAATTCGGGATGGGATATCACTGCGCAAAGCCCTGCTGCAACTTCACATTTCACTGCGAGCCAATCACATGTGCATGACAGCATTTACGTGCACTGCTATAATTTACGACCCACCTCAGAAATTTATACAAGCCACATATTTTTGTAAACCCGAACGCCATCGAGGGCCCGTATCACCCACTCCTCTTAAGATTTTACCATCAAATTAACCCTTTGGGAGCCCTTATGTGGTCAAATCGTAAATTATTGTAAAGAACACTACAACTGTGCAACACGCCGTACGTTTAACTGGTTGTAATTTACTAGAATTTTATGGTTTCACACAAGTAGCGTAATTGTCAATTGGATGGGAAAAGAAGTCATTTCTTAAGCATAAGTAAAGCTACAAATGTAAATAAGGCCAAATCGTGTGGTCAAAAGCCTAGCCTCTGCGTCTGAATGATTTTAACTTTTGGAGAAAAGTAGGCTGTGAGTTTGAAAAAAAACTTCACGAAACACGAAAAGCACAAAATAGGAGTCTAGACAATTTCAAAATGTACGTGAGCCTAGTACGCAAAAGTTGGATCGGTGCTTCGTGTGTTTGCTTACAGACTAATTTGCCCACCACTTAATACACCTATAAGACGTCCGATGCACGATGTGACGGATGCGTATTCCTTCGTTTTTGAAACAGTTGCTCATCATTCAAAGCAAACCCAACTATGGCTGAAGTGACGTAATAATTAAGTAGATCTACTACAAACATGTTCATTGGACATTCGGAAGATCCAGTGCAAAGAAAGAAGGCAGATTTTTTCAAGAAAACTTACAATACACAAGTGATTGATAAATTAGTTTATAATGACATTTTAGACCTCATGACACGTATAGTTGTCTTCATAAAGCGAACGAAATGCGACAGCGATTTAATTTTCTCGAGTTATAAACATGCATAACTTCGTCTCATATTAGTACAATATTACATGATTTTCGGCCAATGTCGTAACATACGCAAGGAGACTGAATGCATGAAAAATTGACGTTGATCGAACTCGAGTTAAAGATACAGCAGTTAATCTAGAGTTTGACTATAACAAGTGGTCCAGCGACGATTTCAGTTGACGACGTCGCTCCATTGTAAACTGAATCCCATTGCTGAAGTAGCCAATCGCATGTCTTTGCGAGGCCAACGGAAACAGATGGTAGTTTCATGCAGTTTACTATTATAAGCCCTTAAATTGACTTAATCACCATTTTCGGAGGCACACAGTTGAGATGCAGCGAACATTTACCCCGCAGGATTCACAGCGATTGCCTGTTACAACAGCGTGTGCGTTTCCGGTGATCGGAATCGACAGGTCTAACGTCATTCAGTTTCTCCAGCAATCACTGGCACGGACTAACCCACAAGGTAGCAATGGATTGCTAAAAGGACCAACACTGCAAAGCAATTTCGGCTCATTATAATCAGTAATTTGGTAGTAATTTTTGTTTGAATTGCGCACATTAAATTAGATTTCAGCGTCACGCTCTGCAAACAAAAATCCAATTCAACAGACTTGGGAGGACTACAAGGGAATACAAAAGAAATGGCGTGTAGTTTGATTGCGGGAGGCAAACGTAGAAGCATACTACAGGAGATAATAATGTGACGCGTAGGCCAACAAGTTCAAGAAAGGTTATTGTGTTTTACTGTGTACGACACGATAAGGTAAAAATAGTGTGGGACAAGTATTTACAAATACGTAGTATTAAGTACTAATATCACCGACGCAAAATATGAAACCGGAGTATTTCTGGTATATGCAAAATCTTTATTGACGGATGGGCTTAAGCTTTGATGAAATGCAGAGACGAGATTGGAGACAAAACGAAGTGTATGTGGGCGAGTTACAGACACGGAAAGGTAGGCGGAAACAAACGCCTATTAAAATAAACGTCACACACGTGAAAAGGCGTGAACCAGTTTGCTAGGCCAATACCGTTGAATTTGTGCAAAACCACTTTAACTTATCTGAAAATGCATCAGTCGAAGCATCAACGTCAAATTCGTGAACATTGAAACGAGAACCCTGCCACCGCTGCATCAAATTCTTTGTGCCGTTCAACAGAGCAAACCCCTACTTTTCGAAACGCAACTGCTACCGATTTCAGTGCTATTAAAGAACTCAAAAAATAAACACTTTCCTAATGCGCAATATCTTACCTAGCTAAAATTATACTGAAGCACTCATACCCACAAATTGGTGATAAACGTCAACTATGCACCAAAACGATTCTCTTATTACTGGATAACTCAACGATAGAATTCAGCAAGCATAGGCTAAGCTTGTTTTAATCAAATAATTTTTTGAGCAAGTCCCTAGATCCAGAAGCTCAAAAGTGGATCTCTTGTGTTTGGGAGAATTATGCACGAATTTTTTACCCCTGTGGTTAGTCTGAGCAGGAATAATGACAAAGCAGATAAGTAAGGCCTTGACGACAAACAGGCACTTCCGATGAAATACAATGTGCAATAAAGAACACCCAGTTGATTTTAGACAAAGACAGAAGTCCAGTTTTTTGTAGCAAAGGAATTCAGAAGGAGCGGCACCTACAACTTCTGATAAGTTCTACAAACTCACAGAGATAGTCAAGTAAAGATGCTAATGTGACGCTCTGGTCCGAGGCTGAGAATATGAGCATCACACCGAAAATAGATGCTCAGGCAAGGAAAAGGGGTTAAAATGTAATTACAATCGTTGTAATTATCAACCCAGGGGAAAAACATAACGTTTTGAGCACAACACAAACATACCAGAAATTTTAAAACTATTTCGGGGAAAAGAATTCACAAAATAATCATCATAGACAATTTTATACTGACTTGTAGGGGAATAAGTCCTTGCGGAACTCCATTATACTAAACAAGATAATGATTAAACATTGCTTATTGGGGAAACTTTGATTCAATTCACGGTTAAGTTTATAGGGAACAAGTGATTCAGAACGAGTGTTAACGCCGTCTAAGATAAGAGTCTTCAGCAGCAATTTTACAAAACATTACGACATAGACAAACAAAACAAAGTACAAAAATGAAAGTGGGAAAACGAAATGACTGAGGCTACTTACCTGACTGGACGCTTGATGGTAGACTTTGAGAGCAACAGTTTTATCCTCCCATGTTCCTCGGTATACCGTCCCAAAGGAACCTGCCCCGATCGACTAAAAACAGAAAGATTCAAATGCAAACTCGTGGATCAGGCTTAACTAAAAGACTTAAAGCGCCAAAATAGGCACACAATTAAACCATTACCAAATCGAATACAGGATGGCCAATAGCCAAGACGAAATAACAAACCTGTTTCAAGTGCAGCAGAATGTGGGGAACCAAAACCCGGTCTGAGAAGCATCCTACGTCGAAGAAACCGCGAAACGTGGAGCAAGAGCCAAAATATTTCTCAAACAAAGCCACTGTCACCTTAACGGTTGAGTTATCTTCAGTGGTGCAACTACATTACTATTTATAAATCACAAGTGTTGTGCAACTTTCTAAAACAAAGCATATCAAGTATTTTGTGTTCATGTAACCACGAGAAGTGACTAAAACGCAACGGTAGAAGAGTTGTCCACTAAAGAATCATTACTGTTTTTTAAATGGCATGATAACCATTGAATCATAATGTCATTCAAGCGTTAATTACCTATGTTAAGAAGGCGGGTACGTCGAATTTAAAAAATAACTACGGAGAGCAGGAAGTATTTAAAATTAACAATGGCTAAAAACGAAAACCCCAACTAGAAGCTAACGGAAACCAGCAAGTTAAAATAGTGAATCGAAAAGCGAACTAGCGCCATTGGGTGGTATCATTAAACTAAGAATTAAATGTCAAAACTTCATGGTGCTAAAACTGCGGCTGCCCAAACCCACAAGTGATTGACTAAAACTGCTGAATTAAACAGGTCAAGCGTTATTTTCGTGAAGTTCTCTTATATAAAAGACCCAATACTTCATGAATGCAGATTACCCAATCTCCAGTCATATTTGCTTTTGAAGAACTTAGATTGTCATTAAAAAAAGAGGAACAGTCGAGCCTAATGTTTTCACTGACTAGGGGCAAAGGGCTCACTTTTCATGAATTGGATAAATAAGAGTAACTCGGGTGAGCAAAACGAGACGGTTACTGTGACTTAACAACTAAGAGTTTTGGAAAATCGCCACCAGACCTTTCATAGACTCAATCCAAAACAGACCGATTCACCAAACAAATAAACAGAGCGAATTAAATTTGAAATTACGAATTTGTCCAGGTGATTCGTGAACGAAAAGATGGAGAGTCAAAAAAGTGGTGTTCGATTCCAAAACCGTAAAACGGTCAGTTTGTCACATGCAACAAGAGATTATGGAGCTTGTTTTCACAATTAAACTTAAAATACTACTACACAGAAATGGTTAAGTATACGATTTTCTACACAGTAGGCAGGAACAAAGACTACATTAATCTTTCACAGTTACTCATGCCTAAAACCTGAAAAATAGAGTTAGTAAATTCAAATAGATAGAAGAAATAGAGATTTCGGTGACGTCAGAGAAATGGACAAGAGTTAATGCTTAGCTATTATACTAATGAGTCCACGATAACAGAACTGATAACACAACCGAAACTAGGTAAGAGGCAGGCCAAAACGTGACCAACAGGGCACAAGTAAGACCTTTGAGAAATGTTTTACGGCATAATCAAGCTATGGGTGGACATGGTAGCCGAAGAGGTTTTTCCTTATCAGTTGGCTAGGTGTCAGTAACAAACTGCAGTGACTCAAATTAAAATGTGCCTTGGCTCTAGACAAATATTGGGAATGCACAATGCACTTGGTGGGACGGAGAAGCCGCCTTACCCATTGCTACCAATGTACATGACTGAAGTTTGAAAATTAAACGTGACAGTTTGTCCAAAAACTCCATTAAGAGCAACTTGAAGTGAGTACTTAGGAGCGTTCTCGTGGAAACTCAAACCGTAGTATTATGTACGTCCGACATAGAACTCAAGTAAATCGATGTCAAAATAAGACAACACAATAGTTTGACGATGTAATTGAGAAGGGCCACTTTAAAGGCCGTTTCACCCAGCCTAAAACAAACTATCTTAATGAATGACGTCATACGGGAATAGCGGGAATTAAGGTGATGGATCACGCAGAGGACTAATATAAACATAAAACCGTGTGTGACTTGACTAACGCTAACTGGGCTGTCTCAGACATGCTAAATGTTTGGGATCAAGATGTAATATTTACCTAGGCTTGAAGAAACAATTTCAGACGATTGGTATCTACCCCTTATGGGAATCTCTAAGTTGCGAAAAAAAATACACAACAAGAGGTAGCAAACAGCTAAAAAAAACGGGATGAAGAAAAACTCGCAAAAGAATAAGCTGCGGTTGAGGCCGCGAAATTTCGCGACAGCAATTGTGTAGCTTACGTACTGAAGTGGTTGTATCTATGGAACGTGATGCTAAATTAGCATATACACCAAGTTTGCGGTCTAGCCGATGTATGAATTGGAACAGTCGTGGTTGAAACTTATTATGTACACACAAATGAAGACCAATGGTTTTGATGAATATACTGACCCAGAAAATTCTGAAGCAAAATTTCCATTGTGTTGCTTAGTGGTAACACTTCGCGTGCATGGATCATATTTGGTAAAGAGACTTAAAGAATCGCCCGAAAGATGAAACGATGCGTTACAGTGTCTCGAAAAAGCATCCAGCTAGCAACCAGTTACTAAGTGATTTTTACCGGCTTGCTAATCAACTTAATAAATGAACTTTTGCCCAGTGAAGATTTGCAGTTTCAACAAAGCGTCGGCGCTTGGCTAGATTATCAGGTAAGTTGAAGGTGGCACTGACGTGGAGACGGAACGATGGGACACAAACTTGGAGGGTTTAAGAGGTATTAGCAGCAGCACCAGCAGTAGTAGTAGTTCCTAGTAGTTGGCCCAAATTTTTCATCAGTTTATTATCGGATAAGGAAATCTACCAGGATGACCTATTTCCTTAGAAGCCTTGTTTCTAAGCAATGATTTGAGCTCAAAAGGTTTTTTAGATTACTATTATTTTTGCGACCATTAAAAGGGACCGCACATCTAAGAACTCGAAGGGTGGAAAGAATCGAATAAAATCGGTTAAAGGTCGGTAGAATAAAACCGGGTTAAACAGAGCTAAAATGGAAACGAATACCCAAAAAGGAGCAATTACGTGCTAAATTAAGATGAATAGAAGATATTTTTACCTCCCCCTTTAATGGCTACCTATTAACAGAGCTGTGAAGAAGCATTCGGCGTAAATATTACTGCACCAGAGGCAGAACATATATTCTTCAGCCACAGTAATGCGTAATCTGAGAATCAACAAAGGGCGTGGGTGCGCGTGACAAATGCCTGCGTTTGCGAGGCAAATAAAAAACCGGTGTTCGCGGTGTTTGGGCCAGATTACCATTACATAGAAACCATATTAAAAGTGAAATTCTCTGGAGGAATAGATGCTTGAGCGGCTGATAATTTGTCAACATTCGGTGGTCATAGAGCAGAAAATCAAAGATGCTCTTTTGTCAAAACGGAGACCAGGGAGGATTTGCATGACTCTGGACTACCTCCTAGGAACATGTAATCAGAAAACAGATCACTAATTAACACAAGGGCTAAAAACGCCGTCTGGAGAAATCGTTAGTACATGACCAAAGACCACTGTTAGTCAAACTGTTGTTGACTAGAAATTTTCACAATTGTAAGATTAGAAGCAAGCGAGCCGAGGATTGCATATCTACTTCGTCCACTGATAAACCTTTAGTAGTCCTCACTATGCTTGAACTCCAAAAATACCAGTCACATAAACTCAAGATGGTACTAATACAAGACTACAGCACTCAAACTTGGCTCGAATTACCAAAAGATGCGTAAAAATGGCATTTAACATGCAAGGGGCTTAAAAAAACAAAAGCGAAGTTATCACAACGCCGACTTCATATCTCAAAAGCTGTGTGAACTTTGGAAGCTAACGGAGTTTTTTAATCTGTGGCTCTTAATCATTGCACAATTTATTGAATTTATTGTGGACTTACACAAAATTGTACAGAGGACTTAAATGTGCAACAAGTGGAAAGCAATACGTTTATATGGCCTTGACAAAACAAGAGTGCATCTGATCAATGTCACAGCAAATGCAGTATAAAATCAAGCAGTAGGATGTAAAGTTATCTTTTAAACACAGATAATTATGACGCAAATTTTAACTGTTTAGCAGAAAAGTATGAGGAGTTATAGCAAAATACTTTTAGATATTTCAGGAGTGATTTAATACAAAACAACAAAACGGCAACAATGGAGTAAAATAAAATCCAAACAAATCGAAGCGATGAATTTCACAACTGTCAGCATGAGTAGCTACCTAGACAAAAAAACGGAAGGTAGATGCAATCCCGTGAGTTTTGATTCGACAGTACTTAAGAAAAAGGTTTCATATAAACTTTTGGTGAACGATTGATTGAAAAACTTATTGTTAGGCCACATATTTTGATAGTTACATAACAGGCCAGAAATGAAAATTGTGCAAATAAGATAAGTACTACGTAACCCCAATTTAATAAAACAACACAAAATACCAAAGAATTTACTGGCATAGTGCCTATTTGCCCTTCCTAAACTAAACACAATTGAATGAATAAATGTAAATTTATCGGCGCAAATCTTTGACAAGGAAATAGTCAGAATAAGACTGCTCACATCTCCCAAGGTAACATCCTCAAATTTAATGACGCGCAAGTGTGACAGGCCCACTACAGAGCTATCCCATTTGAAATTGCGTCGTAATCGGCCTTCACCATCGCTCTCTCCTCCAGTTCCGCGCGCTGAGTCCGCAAGAAGAAGTTGTGTGGCAACGCGGTTAGCTACGAGAGTCCCATCCAAAGAAAATGAAGAAGTCGAATCCTGCAATGAAGAACCTTGCCCTTCGGAGGAATTTCGATGATGCTGGTGGTCATCGTCATCATCGGAGCCGGAAACTTGAAGCTGAACGTAGTTGGCTGGAAAGACGCCGACCTGTCCATAGTTGTCCTGACCAACCCACCAACCATCACTTCCTGAGACCTTCGGATCGATCGAAAGAACCTATTAAGAGAAAAGAGGGACCATCCACACATTATTTTTTTCAATTGTGAATGTCGCATGTCTGCAGTCATTGACTGTATGAAGGATCCTCCGAAAAGTTGAAGAACCGGACTTATTTTTAGATACTAACCATCACTGCATCAAATGAATGGCCTGCCTAACGAGCCAACAAAACAAATAAAAAGTAAAACAATCAATTTAGGGGTATAACATACCTATCCGAAAAAAGACAGGCATACTAATACTTCTCTGACAGTGGGAACAATATACTCTCCTATGGGAAACAGTAATATCAATGGTTCCAAACATTATCACGGCAATGTTTTTATAAAACGCACAAAGTGGTCAAAAAACGCGTGAAATCGCTGTTACTTCAATATAGGATATCAGAGAAGAACCTTATATAACATAAATTATGCAACCGTTTCAGGTGAACAGACCTGAATTGCCTGTCCAGTTGTGAGGCAGAGTTCATCATCGCATTTTGGACGATAAGTATGGAGAACCACAGCCCAATGGGGAGAGGATGACTTGTAAAAAATTTCACTGGTGGAGCACATAACGTTTGTTGTCTTTTACGTATTATTATTTTCCGCTCAATTAATCCCAAGTAGCGATTGTCTCATTTGCACAGATACTACACACGTAAACTTTATTTAGCTCATGCAGTTCAAGTATATATGGCGTGCCTGCAAGTAACTGAGGACAAAAGGAAGCTTGCCAAGCAAGCCCACCAAAATCTGAATAGACCAAAACTAGGATCAATTGCTGATTGGTTAGTTTCGAACTAGTTTAGAGCATAAATGATGATTAAAACGAAATGTCAATTAATTCTTTTACACAATGCTTTACATTAAGCCAATAACATTGTGCGCACAATTTTTCTTGTAGTTAAATTTAAGGCCTTAGTTCTTACTTTTTTCAAAAAGACTAGTTCTGGGATGAATCCCTCTTATTTAAATTTTATTTCCACGCTGCAAAAGAAAAACATAGTGATCAATAAACAATAATTAACTAGCCACGTCTTCCCATCAAATGACGCTCACATCACCTTCGCTCAAAACAGGGCCACCGTGCAGCTACAAATAAACATGTTGCTGCCTAGTAGAACAATATTTTATGCTACAGTTCGTCGAAATGCCTTAACCGAATCGGTGGTACACTCCTAATAGGTCACGATTACTAATTCTAGAATTACTGAGGTGATTTCTTAGTTTTTAAGCAGAGCTGGAGCGTGCTACCTGAACAGAACAAGTTACCTTATCTACCAGATTTGAGGCACTGTGTCAAAACTGTTCCGTTAAAGAAATTTATTCCATTCATGCCCACATCTATGCCAACTCTCGATAGCATAATCTAAATCCCTACTATGATGATCCAAACCGTCCTTCTGCATTAAAATTCGTCACTATTTACGATTTAAATAATGCCGTAATCTGCGTGAGTGCAGCCAGAATTTGTGACTGGGTTCCTTATTTCGTAAAGCCCAATACTGCTTAGAAATAGAAAATAAGCTGTCTTACTTCTAGTACCATCAGTAAAAGAATCTCATTCGCTGAAACCCCCGATTATTAGTCCATCCTTGTGGTGATTCGCCGGTTTATCTAAATCCTAGAGACCCTGACATTGGCAGCAAAGCTTACTATTATAAATGGGCAATTTCTCCATCCTATACTTGAGTAAAAATTACTGACTTGACGAATGCGATTCAAACTGCAGTAATAAATTTGCTTCCATTCATACGCCTCCTAAGAAATACACGTTAGTTCAAATTTACCAACGATAAATTAACAATAGAGACCTTACATACGGATCGAACATTGGTAAAATATCGAACCCTCCCTTGGCTTCATTGCGACAATCTGAACTGAACTCCTCCAAGCAAATGCTGGGAGAATCTTTCAATTGAATATATTTTACAAAAAGCTGTACATATTAGTTTAGTCGTCAGTAAAATTTTCAGGATCAATGTCTCCATTTCCATTTTCTAAAAACGAAAATTAAATAAAAATATTCATTCAGATAAGGAAGTGAACAAACGAACGACTCCAACTGTGACTACGACGCAATAGCGCACTTTCCGGGAAAATTAAAAGAACGTGTTTACAACGCGGTATCCCCATTCAAGCATTTCGCCAGTCGATTTAAAATCCTACACACATACACAACAGCTATACGAACGGCTCAGCTTTAAAATTACTGACGTCGAACATCGAGGTCGCAACAATGGGCTCGCCTTGAGGTATTAGGTGACAGACATGTATCTTAACAAGGTCTCAATAGACTTTACCATTATTAACGTCACCCTCAGGCTCTTCTTGAACATCTTCAAATTCATTTTCAGAGAAATCCTCTGGGTCTGGGTTTAGGGCCTGGCATTCCGCAATCGCATCATAAAGAGAATCGAGGTCGTTCTGGTCAGATGGCACAAAACGAAGGACAAACGAAGCTTTTTCTTCGTCGGTGGGGAAATCAGTCCCATTTTCCTCGCCACTTACATCTGAAAATTTAAAATCACGAACTGTTCAAGAGGAAACAAAAATACGGCAGACGATAGCCACGATTAATGAACAAACTAAATTGTTGTATAGCCAAGAAGTTGGACAAGAGCTTCACCTCCAGTAAACTTAAGTTTAGAGCAGCATGGCATAGAATAAGAAAGAAAACATTAAAGTCTCTTGACCAGCAATCTTAGTTAATTAGCAGGCTTTAACTCGTTGCAAGACAAGAATTTGGACAAGAGCTAAATTTTTTCGTAGTTGCATTTAGAACGGTATAGGATAGACAAAGAACGATAGCGTTAAAGAACACTATTGACCTTTAATCGTAAAGTTAACAGAACCAGTCCGATGACCCACATGGGTGATTTGAACGGAATATTTCGAAATTGAGAGCAAAAATAAGTCCTGACGAACCTTCACCACCATCAATTTCCATACCGGTGTCACCTTCGCCAGAGATGGATGGCTCACCATTAGACCAAACACGTTCACCATCAACCATAAGAAGTAGATGCGGATGAGGAAACTTGACGTTTTCATCGCCACCGTAGGGATCACGGCTAACTGCGTGAAGACAAATGTTTGGATACGCTAGCGAGAACTGAAGCTTCTCCCCATTCCAACTTATTGAGCTAAAAGGGGGGGAAATATCCGTCTACTGGATCCAAGTCAACAAAAACTAATTGACAAATATACATAAGAAGATGACGGAGCAGAAAACTATAAACAGCACACCTCTCCGTGATTGTAAGCTTCCCTTTATCCAAAAGTCGTGTTTCTTCATAAAAGGAGACATTATCCGTAACAAAGCACACACTAGTGCTTCCAACAACAGCATCCACAGTCATAGCGCCTAAATTCGCGAAATCTCGTAAAAACGCGGCAATCTGCAAATAGTTAAACACGTACTCAGCTAAAAAAAATAATTTCCCTATTACCTAATTCAACCTCTGAAAATTTAGAAAACTTTTTGCGCTGTATTTTTCTATTTGTATTAAAATAGATGCGTTATTATTGATAGGAGTAAAATAGGTAGTGTCAAATGTGGAAAATGTGCCTGAATATTGCTTTAGTATACGAGTTTAACAGTATTTAGCCAGCTCTTTTGTTTTATTTAAAGTTCAAGATACCAACATCAATTACTGCATCATTTTATTAATGAGTACTTATAGATTTTTTGTTCGTTCATCGGTGAATTGCGCCTGTCTAAAATGAATTGTTATATTTTGACTCTTCATTGTCCTGAAATAGTTTGATTAGTATCTGTGGTGATTTGTAGATGATTCCAAATGTTCGTTGTCTACTTCGAAATAAAAATTATTGTAACATTTTTAATAAAGAAATGCTTCTCAAGTCAATAATCCATACGCCATCGTTTCCTGCAACTGAATTTGTACCATTTACAAGTTATGGGTTCCATCATCATTTAAAGTTCTTAGATAGATGCTAGCGTCTTATGTACGATTAAATTTATAACCGATCTATTTTTTTTTGCAGATGACTAAACATGTGAATATTTAAGAGGTGAATGTCAGGGTTCTACAGTGTTTGCCAAACTGTCACTTTTTTTAAAATATCTAGGTTTTTAAAATATCTATTTTGCTGCATCTGAACCAATATTTTAATGTTGATAGATGATGCCTTTTGTGAGTCGCGTTAATTCACACATATTTATCCCGTCACTCCTTCCTTCGACACAATATGCATCTTTTCACATCATGTCGTCAGCCGCGCTGAAACTCAACTCAACCCTATTACGGTAAACGATTATTCAGGATTATCCCGACACCTGAGCCCCATTTTTAGCACATTTATGATTAACACTGTTTCCTATATCTGAGTTATAAAAACACGCGTTCAAATGCCATACAACACGATGGCACCAACTTGGTTTAGCTCTGGAATAAACGGTTGTATCCACGCTCTCTCTTGTCTTCTTCTTCATCGAGGGCAGCAGGGTAGCGCAATGAGGCTAGATTCAGCTTAGTGGCCCCGGCGTGTTTCAAGACCACATGCTGGGTCTCCCAAAAAGCCTATCCAAGTAACCCAATTCAAACGTTTCGTTTGGGTCGTGAGTTTTTGCTTGTAAGTTACTCACATTAGTTGTCCACTGCCATTGATTTGCATAGTGGAATTAGCTACATAAAACGCCTTCCTTTAAAATCTTACCAGAAACGTGACAATACTCACAATCGAATTTAGGATTTGATCAATGTTATGCTTCTTTACTTCCATGATTTTCGTTTCTTTTCTATGTTGTTTTGCTATTTGCTTAAGAAAGAAGGAAAAATTGGTTGTGCAGATACTGATTGGGTTGCTCTGTTGTTTCCAAACGCACAAAACTCATCCGGATTTGAAGTACACTTATGACACAATTAAATGTGAAATAATTTGGAATTTAAAACGTTAAAGCATTTTAGTTAAAAAAAATTATGGATTAATTTGCATCGAATCACGAATTGAACTGGTATCCATCCTGAAATATTGCCCTGGCTTTAACTAATCCGTTACATTTAATTCATAATTTTTAAATCAAAAAAACTACTGTTGACTGTCTTAGTAACAGAAGCAAGGTACAAATAAATGCTTAAATGTTTTGTGTTGCAGTTTCAGAACCCCATTTTAAGCTTATTTAACGATAATAAAAACCTTTTATTTCCCTTTCCGATTATCATCCCTACACACTAAGTAGTTTTTACAACCTTACTTATTGTTATGCTGACTAAAAATATATTTAGGAAATTGTAGCTAATTATTTTGTTATCAAAGGAACACCATCACAAAAAAGACGCGAATGCCCCTGATGGCAGTACTTTCATGACCGAGGATGCATGTAGGTATCAAAGTCACAGCATTAGGCTTGAAACGTCTTCGCTGTGCTTTTTTTAATGGAGAGTGAGCAACAATCCAGACTCCTGTCACATATTTTTAAAGCGTGATTGGGACATGCACTTTTGTTGCCAAATTTATTGCAAAAAACACCTCAAAGTCGTCTAGCGTCTGTTAAAATGATTTTAAAATCTGTGACAAGTTACGGGAACTTTAAAAGTAGTTTTAGGGTCTTCTGGTTAAAAGCCTGCAAAATGAAGCATACTAGTTATGGTAATCGACTAACAATGGCAAGTAGTTTGTGGTAGCATGATAGTACTTCAAATGACAAAAGGTTTGACTTTGTAAACAGAACATTCTTTTATTAAGTTTGTGAAACATTGTCCGGGAGCATTTTCTTGAGAATATGCGACCTAAATTCCTCATAGGAGCTCGCAATAAGATTAAGTTTCTAAATTATTTTAATTTGTCGGCGAAAATTCCATTTAGTTGTTACAGCCAATGAATTAACTACTTGCAGCGACACAAAGCGTCTAACAGCATATCTACAATAGTAGCTTGAAGGATACATAAGTTTGATTTGGTGCTGCTCACAAGATATCCTTAGCTAAAATAGGCAGGATCAATTAAGTGACTCACAAATCAATAAAACGACCCTTCACAATAGTGCATTGTATATATAGGAAAAAGATGTGGGTGCCCCTAATTACCTTCGGATGGCAAGCTACATTGACCAGTACGTTTCGAAAGGGCGTTTTACGTCGAGATTTTAGAGAATAGGCAAGAATGAAATTCCGGTTTTCAAAATTAGTTTTGCAATGTCTTCGAGAACCCTCTGCCGGTATTATGATCTGTGTTTATGCCACTTGACCGATCTCCTTTCTAATCTACTTTAGCAGCTGATCACGCGTGTGTTTGCAACTGTTAGTTCAGAGTCACATTTTGGATGGAAGAAAAGTAGCAGATTTATTCATGTAATCCACGTTATTTCCCTTTGAGAAAGGAAGCATCGGAGGTTTACAAAGATATGTGAAATTTAGGCGTTGATGAACTAGAAGAAAGCAAAAGATTAGGATAGTTTGCTGAAGTAAAATTGGATTGAATCGTCAAATAACCTTTTCACAGATTGCAAGAAGTTTAAATAAATCATATACGTCAATTACAGTCTGCTTACTGTGTCTTAAATTCGTAAAAAAAGAGTAGATATTTGTGGTCCGCAAAGATTACACCTAACACGACTGCATAGCAGTTGTGGTACGCATCTTAAACGCTATGGTATTAAATTTTTTATAAACGAGTCACAAATACGCATAGACTTCATTTTTTACATAAATGCCAAAAACTATGATCCGATGGCAATACTAAAAATTGAACTGGCTTAAAGAAATCGTTCAAGTAAGTTGGTATGATTAAAATCATGCAATATATTTAGGATAGCTTCAAGGATTCAAACTGTAGACTTAGTTCTTGTCTGCATTTAATGAATTTAAAAAAGCGATCAGAACTGGCAATTTGTAGTGGGATTTTTTCGCCACTAAGATGCTAAATACCTCACATGTCTTTAAAAACTCATGAAAAATTACGGACCACATTTTTTGCAATGCGGTATCGCTACATGCATCTACCTCCGACCTTGTTCTATCGGCTGACCATCTGTTTCGATGTTTGCAAAGTCTCAGAATAATGAACTGCTCACTAATGTAGGTTACCCAACGAGGAATTTGGCGTAGTTTCTTGTTAACATGGACCAGAAATGTTATAAGCTTGAACTTATGAATCAGCCTGAAAATTTGCCAAATGTCAAAGTAAAGGATATAGAACTGGCTAAATCTTGTTTTCTGTGTTTAAAAACTGCAATTTATTTCCTAATGCAGAAATGAAACTGCTACCTTGTCATTTCAATAAAGTGAAATGCATTATTATTTTCACAGTACCATTACCAATTTAGACAACTTTCACCTTTTTTTTATTTTCAGACCCATAGAGTTCGGGTGGCTCTTTAATGTCCTTCTAGTATAGCTTTCTAATTAAATGTGGCATGAAAACTGGGTCAGGATAAAAAAAATGGGATGGGTCTGACGTCAGTCCCAGGTACGAGCATATAGGAGTAAATAAAATCACAAATTAATTATGTTATTTGTTCACAAAGTTGTTATTTTAAACGTGATACCTTATCCAGGACTAAGCGGAATATCTGAGGTGAACTGTCATTTGATGCGCATGATTGAAAGCTTGTCCGAACGAATTTACTGTAACCTTTTCCTGGGTTCTTTAAGTGTCAACATGCAGTAGAATGTTAGTGTAGTTTGTCTGCTGCTAACCATTTCTTATGAATGGTATAGACAGTGTGATGTGGCAGAATGTTCCAGATAAGTGGTAGTCAACTCTCAAAATCAGGTCAATGAAATGACATTTACAAATTTGTGAGCGAGTGGTCTCACAAAAATGAAACGTCTGATTTTATTTTTTTGATTGTTCGTAAATTAGGTGACTTTGTAAATAGTAATTGTTTACCTAGCTCTGATTCCCTTGTAGGCATAAACAGATCGATGTTAATAATATGTAAACAAGAAAAGCAGCTATTCAATGGGAAAAACGAATGCCATCCTCACCTACTCATATGATATTGTGCAGATGCTGAGTCCTGCTCAGCAAGAACAATACGAGCGCAATAAATGAGCTGAACAAGTATGATATGGCAATTGTTTAGGGAGGCATTAGGACATTGAAAAAATTCGTTTGTAAGGCAGACCACAAAAAAGGTATTTTGTTGTGGGTTACCAATGACACACTTCATTCACATTCCTGTTAACAAAATTTATGCAGCAGTAGAAAGACGTTAATTTTTTGTTAGCATTAACGGCCGTATGTCTTAAGTATTTCCTTGAGCCAAAGCACCCTAAAAAGAACCAGTAATAATTTTAATCGTGTAACTTAAATCTGGGAGATTTCTTCACAAATATAGATCACAGTCCTGCTCATAATCAGTTCAAATTCAATATTGTTACAACCAAACGCAGAACATAAAATATATGTACTACTGATTGATAAATTAAAACTCCAAAGAACCTCATTCTTGAAAAAATTCCACCAATTGGGAGATACTTTCAAGTAGAAAGTAATGATTGAAAAAGGTTACTTATTTTGAGGAATTTCGGTTAAGTTAACTGGCGCCTGCACCATTCGTAAAAATTTTAATGCAGCATTATTGGCTACTTTTGAAATGGAGATTATTACTGACATTCAATCCAAGAATTCCGTATAGGCTCTTTCAAGCTACAACAGAATGAAGAAAGAAGAATTTTTTGTGCTTCTGGTATTATATTGGACTTGAGCAGAGGTAATCTCGAAAAGTCACATTTTTTTCAATTTCAAATTTAGGTACGAATGCACTTAGCACTGTGGGAAGCTTTATTAATTGTAAAACATAAAGTGAGAAAATTTCATAACCGTAAGTTGCAACCAAAATGAAATCATAAAGCTAAAAGATAGTTCAAACGTGATGTAAGTTTACTTATCAAAAACATCACAACTCGGCGGTATTAAGTAACCAGGAGAACGTGTCACACTCAGAGTACAAAATTAACTAAGCTGATTGAAAGACTATTTCACATAAGTTAGCCTGTAACAGACGACACTGAAAACGCATTTTGTTTCTAAACGTAAATGCAAAGGTAAGCCTAGAGACGCAAAAACACATCCGTGTACTATGCGAATCAACGCTATATTGTCTAAAATGCCTCTTTCAAGCATATTTACAGCAGATTTAAGTTGAATTGCAGTGTTACATAGTCTGTCTTTTTTAGTGTCATGCGTAGGATCCTTAAAATGCACCCCGGTCAGCTCATTATGTGCGTACCCTACAATAAATTCTTGACCACATAACGAGAAGCTTTCATTTTCGGGATGCAGTTTGCTATTGATCTGATAAAATTGACTTTTTCTGGACAAATCATTACTTGATTTAAAAGTGAGTCGATTTTCAGAGAAGATATTTTGGTAATTAAATGACCAATCGCAAAATAGAAGTAAAGGAAGTAGGTCTCTCCTCATTTCAAATTTGCCATCCTCTAATATCCATGGTATTTCTGAATTTCTCAAGCTTGAAATATAATCAAGGTGCGTAAATTTAATTAACAAAAATGTTTTTGAGAAATATTGCACAATTGTCTTGAAGAAATATTATTCCATCTCGTCAGTCACAGAAAACGAGTAAAAATGACTTTCAAGATTTATACTAAAACAATGAGAGGCTTAATGGACATGTGGGCCATATCATCCGATATTTTGATGGTGTTTAAACCATTGTAGAAAAGATACCAGATGTCTCTAAAGAAAATTTCAAGCTTGAGAAATTCAGAAATACCATGGATATTAGAGGATGGCAAATTTGAAATGAGGAGAGACCTGCTTCCTTTACTTTTATTTTGCGATTGGTCATTTAATTACCAAAATATCTTTTCTGAAAATCGACTTGTACAGTCTCAATTTGTGCTCGATTTTGACAAAAAAGCTTCTGACGATATTGTTCACATGGCTCTTAATGTAGAGACAGGCATCCTGAACTCTAATTAGTGTTATTGTTTTGGCTAAAGTTGTCATGTTGAGTCAGTTTCTTTGTTTTGGCTATGGGTTTCTGGATTGTAATGATGTTAAATCCGGTTTTCGACAATGCTTGGGCAGAAATATTGCATTTGCAGATCCTAAAAGACACTTTAGCATTCCATAAATGAGTATCAGCTTCAAACTTATACATGCGAGATAGATTCACTCAAGTTCATTCAGCCGATTTTTAATAGACATCAAAACTACGCTGTATTTAGCATATTTTGCCAAATGACTTCGTGTTGAAATCAATTATTTCTTTAAGTTGGCTTAGTATTATTAGGCTTCCTTCCTGTGGAAAACTTTAGAATATTTTAGCACTTCGATTCGAACTTGTCCCATAAAAACATCTAAGGGGTTTTATTACATAAAATCTGTCGTGACCATATTCTAATTTCTTTGATTTCTTGTCAAAATTACACTGCATTTGGTGTGTGTGACTGAATTCAAAATCAAATTTTAACCCAATAACATACACAAGAAACGCTGCTGTGTTTTAACATAAAATATCAAAATGATTTCTTGTTTTCATTATTGCCTCAAGAAAATCCGCTTACCATATTCTGTTCCATAAATCTCAATTTAACGTCGGTCAAGGCACGGAGATATTGGATATCAACAGCATCTTAGACTAAAGTGAACTGCATACTTGTGTGAATAAATTCAAACAATTTGTACTAAATTTGGGATTTCTGTGACATAATTTTGTCTTAGTAACCATTAATTTATTCGAAAATTACCCATTGTTTCTATCGGTTTTTTATGGTTACCGTGAGCAAAAGTTATTTGGGCAAAAACAATATTATCCGTGATTTTAAGGTATTTTGGGTGACACTATTTTCGATCGCACTCACCTTTCAAGCTGATGCACAATTTTTAAGGCGATGCATCTCGTGTGCATCTTGTTTGACTTTTAACAGCTTTGAAGAAATCACTTTCTCTCCAATCGGTCCGCTATTCGAAAACGGGCTCTATGTGCACCGTAAACACCGTAAATAAATGTTATGAAAAGAGGGCAACTTATCAGGTCGATGCAGTTGATAAGATCAAATTGCATAAAGGTTTTGGCAAGATGCCTACTAAGATGTACAAAATTATGCATAGTCCCAGAGTTAGAAGTGCTAGTTTTGATTAACCTTAGAACCCTGAAAAGGCATAATCACTTTTTTAAATGACGCCAGATTTATAATTTGATTGCAAGTAATGGGTATAATTAGTATTTTTTTCAAAACTGGGATGTGCGACTCGCATTCCCCCACTTTCCCACATCTCCCAACCGTCACGCCAATGGGTCTGCGAGTTGGCTCCACGACAAAGTGTGCGCTCCGCGTGCATGTGACCTGCGCGCTCCACACGCCAACCCCTCCTACGGCCAATCTGACGATCTGTTCCCCTCACCCACACTGTCGTCCTGTGCGCCTCCCTGCCCCCTCATATACCCTCCTTCCATGTATTCGGTGGTTTTGGATATATCCATTGTTGCCTTGTGACTGATAAGAATGCATGATGATGTCTTTCCAAGGTGGTGGATCCCTTCGGCTAGCACGTTACATTACCAATCAGACAAGCTCTGTACGGTTCTATAACCGCGTGCTTTTAATTACAAAACTTCGTTGTTATGCAAATTATATTAATTATTGACCCTTGCCTAGGGTAATGACACAAATTCAAAAATATAATTTTGGTTTTCAAACTATCAGGGCTGCTTCAGTTTTCCGACTAATGGCCAAGAAGCGTTTGTCCGAGAAAGACAATTAAGGCTTTGTAAACGTCTCATTTTCACTTCTTTACATTAAAATTTTCCCGTGCTAGACAAAACTTCAGGTCGATAGTTTGATTTAAAGCAAAGCATCGGATTCATGTATTAGTGTTTATTCACTTTAACTGGAAAGGTTTTTCTGGCTCCCCGTTTTGTCCGTTTAGGAGGCACAATCCTACGGACGGATACGGATTCACCAGAAAGTTATAGACAAGTTTTTAAAACTATTCTCGAATCAATCGTTTTTCACTTGAATCAGGGCGATTTGGCTAAGAATAATCTAAAGACGCGTTATCTAGCTAAGCGGTAGTTCTCGGCTTCAGAAATATCCCTTGGACAATAGCACAATCTTCAAAAAACAACATTCAGCACTCGAAGTCCTTTTGCCTTTGAAGAACCACAGTACTCTCATTGATTGTTAACTTGGCGCACGATTTCTTCAGATTAGACATCAATGCTTTACTCCGTCAAGTTTTTGAAGAAATAGACTGTATTCTTTCAACACGTAGCAGGCTTTAGGAGTTGCAAAAAATTTTGCATGTGATAGTCTATGCACTACTACTTGTACACTAAACCTAGTTTTGCAGATCCTAAATACTGTTATTTGTTTCCACTGACTGGAATTTATATTTTTCACCGTTATTTTTTGTGATTGCTATGTGACATTTATCTCTCCTTTTTAAATGAAACGTAAACAGTGTCAAAACATAGAATCAGAACCATTTGCATTAAAGGATGCATTTTTGACATTTGCTCAACCAATCAATGTTTTAAAAAAAAATCAGTCTCATTAGTTAGCTAATTCGGGGCTTCAATTTTTAGTCTCCAACAAATATAGATTGATAAGAGGTCTGAAGGGAACCCAAGGTATACGGTTGTGTTCGAGTAAAACCAATTTTAAAAGTAAAGCAAGAAACTGATGTTCATTTGAAGGAACCAACAAAATTTTGCAAATCTAATAGGAGGAACTAGTAGCCAAAGTTTACATACTCTTACTACCACTAGTAGTATAGTCTTTTGATATTTATCGAAAATATTTTCGAAAGTTGCATTATGTTTATCAAATGTCCCAAATCCGTGGTAACGCTCTACTCCTCAGAATGAATGTGTGTTAAAGAATACCATCGGTCATCTTTGGAAAAAAACAATCACTTCGTTTACCAAGCAACACTTGTTGATGTTAATACGGCAGTGTGATCACGAAGTTGAGGCAAAAATATTTCGGCGGTTGCAATAAAGTTGATTGTGCTGAACTCTAACCTCTGTATCTTAAACCAATTATTACTTTCATAAAGTTAGGTTCCTGAAACCGTAAGCCCTACTTTGCCCTCCTTTAGATACCACTTCACATTTATGAGTGAATTATCTGTATAAACCTGCGGCCCGACTGCCTAATCGAAATGCCAACCCGTTTAGCCCGGGCACATTCGCCAACCAATCAGATTCCGGCCTATACAGCCCGTATGTGCATACACGCGCCAAAGGCAACCGGCGCATCGAGACCGCCAAAGTTTGCATGCCCTTAGTGAAAAGGGACGGTTAATATATGAGGCAAAATGAAACGACAAAATGTACGAACCCTTGCTCTCATCGTGTGCACGTTTACGTATCTTGTAATAGGAGCGGCCGTGTTTGACGCCCTTGAATCCGATACGGAGGGCACGGAAAAGGAACGCCTTCAGGCTCAGGAAAGGGAATGGCGAGTGCGGTACAACATCTCCGTAGAGGATTTTGAGAAAATCACTCAACTGGGTATCCAACTAAAGCCTTATCGCGCTGGGACCCAGTGGAAATTTGCCGGTGCTTTCTACTTTGCCACGACAGTTATAACAACTATAGGTGAGTCTAGAAAGAAACAGTACGTTTAGGCTTTGACTTCACGGCAGAAAATAAAACAATTGCATTGGCTAGATTTTAATCAAAAATAAGGTCTTAAGAACAATCTATCATTTTGATTCAAAGACGCTTTTAAATTATTCCATTTTTAATTGACGCTTGAAACACATAAGATAACGTTAAGGCCTCGAGCAATTTGTAGGCTTAATATCGGGAATGCTTTTCAGAGCATGGAATGTGTGCCTAAACAAAACAGATATAAATCAACTACTTAAAAACGTTTATAGCAATAATTGTAGAGCTAATTTAATGATCCAGAGCTAGAATTTTCCCAACGATGTTACGATGGTAAATGCCTACCCATGTTTAAATACTTCACAGTGGAAAGATCGTCAGATGACATTGTCAACTTACAGTTGTGGTGCATTTTCCATAATCAGGAAGCTAGTTTTAATAATACATAACGGTGAATAAAGATGAATGAACTCAAAAAACGACTCATTTTGTATCTACGTTGATCGGGAAATACCACAATTTGAGTCACAGACTTAGGTTTTAGTTCAAGTAAATCCTAGAAGTTCTAATGGAGTAATTCCAAGTTGATATTATGATGATAACTATTCAAGTTAGCCAGGTTTTACGAAAATGAACTTAAAAAGATATTTCGTCATGGTTTGTACGAAGGCAATAGAATTAAAGTGTTTTAATTCGTGAACTACGGGGCTATTAGGGCGAATTACGAGAGAAATTTAGGTCTATTCTATATGTCAGTTAAGTGTTTATCTACGAAATCATGTAAACACAAAGTTCATATCCTCTTATATGTGACTACATTAATTCATTTGCATCTAAAAAGCATTTCATTGGTGTGAGATAATTTATTAAACACTTAACGGGGTTGTGCTACAATTTTGCACTAAATAGTCCCATGATTTTCGCTAATTACATCAAGATAAGAATCATAACTATAAAAACGACATTTTATGAAATTGCGACAGACTACGAGAATGCACAAAATACTACAAAAAGTTGCATGCTTGATTTAGTGCCTTTAAATGAGACGTACGTGTTCTGTTTTGTACTATGGCTCTTCGAAATTTTAAACGATGACTTGTTACGGCGTTTATTCAGGTGGATAGCATGGACATTTTAAAAAGGCATACTTTGGCTGCAGATAAACATTACGTAACTGCGATTCTTGAACACTATTGGTTGAAGCCGCAATGTCGATGAAAGACTATAAGCACACGACTCACATGACTCATCAAATGTCCGAAATCGTTAAAAGCCAGCAATTTACTATAAACTTAAACATACTCATTAAATGGTTATGTAGACTGCAATCTGCTTCTCTGAAAGCAACATCTATGGTGTTGCCTGAATTGGAGTTAAATGACTGTTTTGATGTCTACATGGAGCACACCTTCAAAGGAGCCAATTTCAGTATTCAGATTAAGTGAACGGAAACTATTCAAAGAGGATAAGGATCTAGCATTAAACACTTTATATTCTCAGTTTGAAGTTATCAGAATATTGTTTATAGCGTTTCAATAGTACAGTAGGTGGCACTACTAACAAAAAGCAGTAAATACATTTGTTACTTACACAAATTACATCTTAAAATCATAATGCCTGCGGTAAAGAGTAATTAAAAGTAATAATACAAAAATCTGCATCCAAGTTTCTGAGGGGCAATAAGCTAGCTTCACCGTAATAGTTAAATAAAACAAATTTTGGCACTAAATCTAATAAAGTCCAATTCTTTTAAAAAGCAAGCAGCTTCAGCATTTTACAAAAACTAAAAAGTAGGCCTTTTAATAAAATATTCAAACAACACTTTCTTACTAACCTTTATTTACTACATACAGATGAAACACAGAGGTCAGTGAGGCAATAAACAGCAAAGTTGGCCCAGGAGATTTTTAAAAGGTAAATGCAGTGTCTCACATAGAGGCCTGTTGAACACTGTTCGGCCAGCGAAATAATTCCAAATAGTGTTTCTATGGGAACTGAAGGAATAAATCAAATGAGTAGACAGGAAGAGTGTGCAATCTTGCAAAATTGGTCTCTTTAACAGTTGTATGGTAAAATTTTATGAAGGTAGGGAACCAATTTACGTTATCATTCATTAACAAATCAACCTTTATAGGAGGTAGAGAAAGACCACCTAAAATGCTCCTTTTTGTTTAACGGGCAGTCAATAATATTCAGCCGAGGGCATTTTTTCCTTTAGCAGTGTCCCGTTTTGCTCTAAATGAAAACAGCCAAACATTAGTCACTGCTGATTCTCAAAATGGAAATATTTGGTATTTTAGTGGGGAGTTCCGTGTACAATGATCGGTGACGCGCTGTTTTAAAGCGCACTGGAGTTGCGAAACTTTCTTGATATGTAATTTTTAATTTTTGGACAAATTACATAAAACGTTAAGTTTTAAATTCATTCGCACGTGGTGAACGTAGACAGTATGTACAACTGCGAATTCATTACAGCTAATTGTTTTCCTGATTTGACAAAAAAAAATTAATTTTCCTGGTTAACATAACTATTTATTTTTAAAAACCAATATGCAAATTAAAATAGTGCTTTTAATAAGGGAATGAAGGCCAGATGTTTTATATTTTCTTTTTTATACCAACTAAAGTGCTGCCGCTGCGTAAACAGTGGATTAATATAACATAGAGAGGCTTATAGACTTACCCTAAACAGTTAAGTGTTATTTCATTTTCAACACAATGCATCTCTGATTAGTTGAACGAATAAAAGATATTTGGCCAAATTTTAATGCTCAGAATTCAGTTCACATGTTTTACGCTTTGTTATGATCCTATCTAAGGTCACTGTTTTAGAACTCATGAAAATACATACTTGTGCTTTTGTAACAAGAAGACAATCACAATAGATGATTCAAATAGTTTAAGTGGCTGAGTCAACACCCTATAATTAAGCTGAGTATATGTAAAGTAGTATATGTATGTGACTAATTTATACTTTAATAAGAATACCATGCGGTAACCTAAATAGTTATCTATGGATATATAATTCTAATGTGCATGACACAAAGATAATGCAGAGTGGGGCCGAAATACATGCTTGAAAAGTTGGGACAAATCTTCGTTTCTATTTATTCAAGAATCCTCTCTCTTTGCGGCATGTGGCTAAATTACCTTCGGTCCTTAAAACGTTTTAAAGGCATGCTAGTAGGTGAACTACGAGGAAACTCAGTGTAACCACGACCGATCACTCCATGTGTGTGGGAAATGCTTGTCAAGCCAGTCACGGAGAAGACTGCTGTAATAGAGATGCACGGTTTTGCTGACACCACACCTCAAGAATATTTGGTTAGTATGTCACTCGAGGCTTAAATCATTCGTGACATGATATTGTTGACATCAAGGTCTGTAAATAAAACTGACTTTCCAATTGCTTTTGATAGTTGGTCGAATGTTTCTTGAATCGTCCGACGTGCCTCTTATTGTTTGTTTGGTCAGGCTTTGATGCAATGGATGCGCGTTCTCTAATTGTCAGTCGATGATCAATCATCTCTACCACTCCTGCGCATGTTTTTATGCCCTAAACAGATACACCTAACTGCACAATTCTAGTAAGAAAATAAGTCAACTTAACACCGGTGAGACGTGTTTGAATTATCTACATCGGCTTAAAGTAGTTTCTCAGCAAGGAAGCGGTATTTGATCTCTCAAATAACTGCTTGAAAATTTAAAAATACGCGCATTTGACCGCCTAATTTCGTTTGACTTGACGGTATTTTATCTTTTGTCAAGAACAAATCAAGTTACATTAATCCAACAAAGTGGAGTATCACTAAGGAAGCTTGTGGGGGTACAAATGTCAATATTTTACTGAGTATTGTATATAACTGAATGAATGACATTCTAGAAGCAGACGATTTCGAAAAGATCTACAAGAAATCGACAAAAACAAGTGAAATCAGTTCTTAAAATGATTTAAAAAGTGTAACTAAGCGTCACATGTATTCATTGATTTAAGATTAAACTCGAAACAAAATTACAAATCCAAATTTGATTTTCTGGTTTTTGATTTTCACTTCTGTTCACACTATCGTGCTATGTTCACATTCTGTTTAAATCCAGTTTGCAGCTCCCTGCTATGTATGTCAAATCCGAAGCTAAATCATTTTTTAACTGCCCCTGTAAACTTTTGATAGCAGTATGACTAAAGTGCAAAATTCTGTTGTTCGTTTAAATAATCAGGTTTTAATCAGAAAATAACCACAAACCAATAGAAATATTTGCGGTGAGGTAATAGGGGATAAAAAACCTGGGTGTATTTGTGTTGATTCTGCTTTTAACCTATTGCCAATAGGAGTAGACATGAACATATTTATTCTGATTTCTCAAATTCCTTTTAACATGGTCTATATAGGCCTGTTAGTTGAATATTACACTGTCAAATAAACTGACACACGTTGCCACATAAAAAAAACACGGAGTGTCTTGTTTTCGACTTGAGAACGAATGTATTGACTCGAATCTCATTCCTCCTCTCTGATTCCTGCGTGCCGTTTTGCAACCACTGCGACACAAACGTGAAAGATCAGGATCTAGCGATAATTTGGCTATTACTGGATAAAGTGATTCAAGCTTCAGCTAAAAAAGTCAATTTCTACATTAAATCGTATGTAACACCGACAATCTTAAT